TGTTGCACAATTTATGCATCAGGAAATTGTCTAAATGTCTCATATCCTCTTGTGGATGTTTTGCTATGTTGACATTTCCATGGGAAAACTTCTAACCCAGAAGGGGGTTAGGGGGTGTGCAGCTCTCACTTGGACAATTAATTCTTCTCCCGTGTACTATTTTGCTATGGAAATTTTTGCTCATTTTCCATAGGCAGTCTACACACTGAAAAGTAAGTTTAGCTTGGAGAGAGATCCATGAAGGTACAGGTAGCGGGAAAAAAACTGCAGAGGGTGCAGAAGTAGTTACATATTCCTCACTCCCACTGCTCCTTTTCCATTACCGTCTCCTTGGCTTTAATGCTATCCATATTTAGGAACCTTGTTTTCTTTTCTAGAGGAATAGATGTTGAGTTTTACCTATAGCCAATGTCAGCAACCTTCTGCACAGGGCACAATTTGATTTGTTTTCCAAATTTTAGAGGAATGATGAGTTAAGAGAGCTTAAAGATAAGTGGCCAGCAGAACACTTGAGGTAACAGTTTTGTCTTTGTCTTTTGACAAAGTCAGACAATTGCTGTATTTCCACTTATTCATTTTTATAGGAGAGTCGCTGTGCCTGGGGAAGCTGTCTCTTGCCCTTCCATCTCCTGGGCTAAACCAACTACAGAGCTACAGCTGCCAGAGGGGTGTGGCCAGAGCTGCTGTGTCCTCTGCTGAAAACATGATCCTCACAAGAAAGGCTTGTAAAGAATTGGGAATTTCTTCTCCACCTGTGTTTGATTTACCATTGAGAGGGAGGAAGACAGTTCAAACAAATATTTCAACTTTTTTTTCTCATAAGGCTGTTCCCAGTGATTCCAGTGAACCCAGTGACTTAAATGAATGTTTACCATCTGTTGAGCAAAAACAAAACGATTGGTCAATAGACTCTCCATGGAGAAAGTTCGACTCTTTGGTCTCCAATGAAGTTCATCCACCTGAAATAAAACTAGCAACTGAAATTGCTGAAGCTGAAGGTTTGCTAAGTCCAAATTGCTACTTCCATTCTGATGATGAGGAATTGGTGAACGTCAGTAAACATATAGAACATTTCCCCACAGGACATGGAAAACCTCCTGATAAATCAAACCCAATTGTTGTCCCTTTTGAACTTAAACCGCATATCACTAATATAGAAGATCACCTAATCTTATTAACAGATCTTTGTGGAAAATTCTTATCTGAGCAGAGCAAAGAATTGAATTCAATTAAGAATTCAATTTTTGTCTCAATGTTATTCACTGCTGACTACACTGGTAGAACTCAACATAAGAAATGATCAGGCTCTTAATATTGATACATCCAATAATACACGTAAATCAGGAGAACCCACATGACCAACTAAAATCAAATCAAAAAAGAAATCAAAAAAGAAACTGCAACGTAAAATAAAATAAAATCACAGAGGTAAGCTTCAGAGTAAGGTACTTAAAATTAAAAAGCCTCTTGTACATCCTAGGAAACAAGATAAAATATGTCAAAAGTGTTGTAACCACTCAGATTATTCTTCACCTTCTAACAACCATGTAACTACAAGTACCACTGAGCCCCTCTTATTTGTTAACCCTCCCAATGTGCCTCCATCTCCATCTAAGGAAATACAAGACCCTTGGCAATATGTGTATGCTCAAAGCTGCATACAAGGCACTAAGCTGAGTAATCCTGCTCATGAAGATATTAAACACCACTCACCCTCCTGGAATTTGGTTTTAGACCATTCAAAGTTGGTTTTCTCTAACTTCCCAAAGCCAAGAGGCTGGCTATCCCAGTTTCAATGTAAAGCCCATTTTGTGTATCTTATTGGGAAGGAAATAGTTCCATTTATTAACATAGACAATATCCTTAACATTGATTATCTTTTTTACAACTATCACTGTGCCCGTGCAGTTGTGACTTTCA